TTCAGCAGGTTTTTCCACTGTGCATAAACCCTAAGTTTGGAACTATGCCATCAGAAAAGTAGAGGCCCTCAACTGATTGTTGACTGAAATCTAAACTTTTATCTCAAATAAGCATGTGACACAGTTAAACTATTATTGTCCAAAGTGCAGAGTTAAAATATTTGTCTCTATTTAGAATGCAGGTACTACAGGTTTTTGCAGTTACCATAAAATGGATAACTTTTTTATTGCTGAAAGCTATTGCCTATATTAAAAGATCCACACAGCTTAATAAAATGTAGTTAAGATTATGATCTTAGAAACACAATAGACAGAATACAGTAAACAATTTGCAAGAAGCATTTCTACTAAGGTCAGATTTTTACTAGTGATTTAAAATGCATGATTTACTAGTGATTTAATACACACATTACATGAGAATTACTTCAACTTGGTGCATTAGCAGTTGATGCTTATAAAAATGCAAATTCTAAATAAGCACAGTCCCAGGCACAGCAAGAACTGTAAGGCAAAGGAAAGCACATCACTAACTCCATCAATGTGAAGAGCTTGGTGTTCGACACTAGCATTACGGTAACCCATGGGTCACGACCCAAAAGTGGGTCGCGAGCATATATAAAAGGGTTAAGAACAAACTTTAAAAATGGTGTCTCTTTTAAAGGTAAAAAACATGGGAAACTGTGGTTTTCCCCTTGCAAGCTGGCAGAGGTCCAGCTTCCACACTGGGAGGCTGGGGGCAAGGGGCAGCGGGTCAGGAGTGAGGGGCACTGGGTCAGAACTGGCCATCAAAGTTTACAAATGGGTCCTGGTATAAAAAAGGTTGAGAACCACTGTTCTAGACAATATCTTGCCAACAGACCTACAGAGAACCTGAACGGGTCTCAGCAACACGTATACATTTGACAGACCTTGAAACAATAAAGCCTGGCTTCAGAACTTCAATGAGACAGCAGATTCCAGAGTTCAGCATAAAACCAAGCTGGTGTTTGACAATATCCCAATGTTGCTGGCAATAAAAATGTCAGTAAAGGAGATGATGCTATTACGTGCTTTCCCAGTTATTAGATTGCACAGTGAAATATTTAAGATTAGAAAGCTATTAATTTATCTGGTATTACTGGCCCATGATTTTTCATTTGCACACAGAAGAACAAAGTCACAAAGCAAGTGTGAAGAAAATTCAGCAATCAAGTTTCAGTTATTAGAAATTCAATTGTGCTTTTAGCTGAAGTAGTTAGGAGTCTTGCCCCTGTTCCATCTTGAGTAACAGCATTGAGTTTGAAACCAACCCCTTGCAGTTTCAACTGAAACTAAGGTTTTATTTCTCCCAAGCTGTCAGATAAAGTTGCATTATATAATTAATCACTGTTGCATCTCGGACAAGGGGACTAGACATTCCTTCCTAATCCCTCAGGCTGTTAGCCTACACCTTGGAGCATGGAGATTTGATTATCCTTATCTGCAGTTACATAATAGTTTTTACTTTAGAGTGTTTTTAGAGCTCAGACAAGAAACTGGAACAACAGATCTGCACTGAAACGGGCTACCCATGAAGTAGCGTAGGCAGATGAAGTGCAAGCTGCTCCAGTCCACCTTCAGTGGTATTGCCCTGACCTGGAGAGCCCACATCCTGGGGGACAGGGAGAAAGTACAAGTGTTATTAATAGTTGTTCATTTAACATGTTACATAACAGACTTCTGTCAAGGCCACACTGATCTCCTACAGAAAAGTGCCTTTGGAAATAGGAATTTTCCTGACTGTGCTGTACAGAGACTAAAGCAAACACACACAAAGTTCGTACTATTTATTTGTTGTTTTAACCCATTCTTTCTGAAAAGGCTCAAACTTGCACAATCTTGCAATGAAAACACTCAACTCCTACAAAAGATAATGGGAAGAACAGACAGAGCACCATGCAGGATCAACCATGTGATTGGGCTGGAATCATATTAACCTCCTCTCTACTAATGTATTTTTAATATATATTTTGGTGACTCTCTGATCTCAGTAGAATCCTGTATCAATCACTTTTGTACTCTGAAGCTGGCTGCTTTTCCTTGGGTTCCCCTTGTGATTCAAAAAAATTAAAATTAATGATCTGCCAAAATATAGGTCTATATATTTTCTGGCTCTCTGAAAAACATTAATCTGAAGCTACTCTGAATTAAGATTTAGTATGCATCTATATAGCATGATTTTTTTTCCTTTTGAGTAGTTTGATAACTTTTTCTTACTTTGCTGGTGTCTGGCATTAGAATAGATTTAAACTAATATAATTTTTAATTAACTGGCTTTAGCATGTGGCCTAGTACGTTGCGAGCAGTTGATCTTGGGGTGCTGGTAACAGAATTATGAAATATAGGTCCATGAGATAAAATTGAACCAATTTGTGAGCTTAATATATTGAACCTATCTATAGAGCTATCTTTAGATAGCTCTATCTATAGATAAAATGTGTGCACACGATACATATATAAAATGTATGTACACACACACACACACACACGTGTGCACACATATAACAGAGCTAAAATATTTCTCTACTTAAAATGCAGGTAGCACAGGTTTTGACAGTTACCATAAAATAAATAACTTTTTTATTGTGAAAGCTATTGCCCATACTAAATGTTAAAGAGCCACACAACTTAATACAATTTAGTTAAGATTATAAATTTTGAAAGACAGAGGGAACACAGTAAACAATCTGCAAGAGACATTTCCACTAAGGTCAGATTTTTACTAGTGAATTAAAATGCATGCATATTACATTAAAATTACTTCAGCTTGGTGCATTAGCAGTTGATGCTCTGTATATACCCACATTCACATACATAGTCACACCCAACCCCTGGGTCTTGTTACCATCCTGTGGAATCTATCACAAGGCACAAGACTATCAGATGACTGGGTTTCCCCGCACCCCCTTCCACAAAAGCTGACTGAGCAAACTGACTGCTGTATTTCCACCCTTTGTTGCTTAGAGTGGTTTACACAGTGTACTGATCCAAAGCCTTATTTTTTTTACCTCCCCCCCATAAAGATACTAATATATTTACACTGTTTCATAGACCAATTGTTAATGTCACCTCTTCAAAACCTGATTATGCTTACAAGTCATATCACCCAGGAAGCTAAAGAACAGCAGAAAATCCATGAGTCAGAAATGATGCTCATAAGCAAAGTCACACATCTGTTTCCTCATTAGAATTAGGTTTAAAAAAATCCTTCATTCCAAATAGCAGACACGCTGATTTCTGTTTCATTTATTCAAAACACTCCTTTTGTTATAGAGAAGGGAGCATGAACTGGACGCAAGTAGAATTCTTTTGCTGAAATAAAACATTTTTCCTCTGCATTTTACAAATCTTACATTAACTTCTTGACATAAGTATTTATCAACTGCAATTTCACTTTCCACTTGTGTATCGCTTCTTCGGTGTACATTGATAGAAAAAAGTTATCAATTACTTTAGAAAGTTTCAAAGACAGCTGAAGATCTATGAGAACCTGAGATGCCGTTAATATATGGCATTTAATATGGACCCAACATTGAAAGATTCACAGTCCGCTTCAGTCTAAATGGCAATCAGAAGGTTGCGAGTATCTAGAGGCCTGAAATCAGCAGTGGGCTTTCAGAACATCAGCTCCTGAAGAAGGGAGTCATCTCATCACTGAACTCTGAGTTCTCCTTTTGCAAGTAAAGCCTTCAAGCTCACCTTTATAAAAAGGCAAATGTACTTTCCAGCAAATATGAGTGTACTCTAACTGAGCAGTGAGGTATGTGTTTAGATACAAGAGTATTTCACTTTGCATTAACACACTTGGGAAGAAGTATAAACAGAAGTTTTAATGTGGCAAATACAGCGCAAGTTATTAGGCTGGAGGCAGAAGTTTTAAGAAACAAATTTCAAACATCTTAAAAAAGGTAGATGTTACCATTTACATTAATCATGGCACACAAGTACAAAGCCCCAGAGAGCTGATAGGTAGTAATGTACAAGAACAATACTGTTGAGACTACTCTGCCAAAAAAAAAAAAAATAAATCAAACATCACTGAATAAAACCCCCCATTACTAAGAAGTTACAGCCCAACAGTATCCAGACTGAACATTAGTTTGAGATGACCAAGATGATTTGAGTCTGGAGAAGGTTTGGCAAACAAACTAATATGTCTGTCCTCTCACCCCTAAATTTCATAACTTTCTTGCACATCAATCAATTGATTGATCTGGGAGGAAACTGAAAAGGAATAGAAATAAAACTTACAGAAAGGAAGTGCAGTTTCAGCTGCAGACACATACCTTTCTTTCTATGCCTTACAAATTAAAAGGTCTCTCCCAGCAATCATCATTTAGAATTCAATTTGCATTTACATACAAACCTGTATACGCATGTGGTTTCAACAACTAACAAACAAGGAGGAACGGCTGCGGTGTCATTAATCCTCTGCTCAATAAAAATTTCCATTTGCAGAACAGTGCTTCAGATTCATCAACACTACAGCCTTTTAGGCATATGGATCCATTTCTAGTATTATTCAAGCTAAAACACAAGTTCTTTCTGAAAATTATTTTTTTTAAAAATGTATCTGCGTACCTGGTCTGTAGCAATTTAGTGCCAGTGCTCGTGCGACTGGTGCTATGTTCTGCCAAAGATCTTTTGGTCTTTTTATCCAATCCTGTGTTAGGTAAGTTATTTCCAAATGAGCTAGCAGCATCATTACCACTCCTTGCTCTGTCTGTTTGCCCTCCTGTGCTGTTCGCTGTTTTTGAAGTGCCTCCACACATTTTCTTAGCTGAGCTGTGCTCTCTCAAAGCTTCTTTAAAATACTGAACACAGGCTGAAGAGATACAGCTTCAAGTGAGTTTCTTCACTATGGTTCAACATGCAGACAATCATTTCCACCCCCCTCCCCGCAACTCTGTTTGTGGGGGGAGAAAAAAAACAAAACAAAAACTACACAGGTAGGTCTTCTGTAGCAATCTGCTGGGTATTTTATTTTTATTTTTTTAAGAAAAAAAGTAGCATCTCCAAATAAACTGTAAAATTACAATTAAGGGAGATAATTGCATCTAATATCTTGCAATATATATCCCCAGGAGAAGCCTTAAACACAAATTTCAAATACCAAAAACCATCCAAGCTTCTGTCCTCCTGCTTTTGAGTTTTTTCCATCAAGCCTGGTGCAGATCTGTCGACAGATACAGCAGCTAATATTGACTTTAGCTACCTTTGTTTCCTGGTATGTGATTAGGTAGCTGGCAATTATTTGGTCACAAGACTGAACCATAAGGCCTCTGAAAAGAGAGCATACTTGCTTTTGCACTGACTCGCCCTTAGTTGCAAGGTTGTTCTAACACTGGCTACAACACCCTGTTAATGGCTCTCATGTGAGCAAGTATCATCTGACAACTCTTAGCAACCTTCCCTGGCTCAGCACCACACTTCAAATACAAATAGGAATCTGTCATCAGCAGTATACGCTTATCAGTGAAGAATGATTAACACTAGGAAACACCCCAGAAATTTTGCACTGTAATGATTCTACTCTTGAAGGTAAACAGCGTGTTCTCAGCTAAAAATCTGGGATTGCTTTAACAATAAACCTTTCACACAGTGGAAGGTAAACCTGTTTACAGATCACAATCAATAATAAGATCTAGTGGATATACAGAGAGGTAATGTTTCACTTTTACACTGCCTGAATGTGTCCCTAAAAATCTTTTTCAGTTCCGAAGCATTACATAAAAGTGGTAAAAATGAAAAAGTGGTAGGAATACAACTAGGAGGGATCAAGAACAGTAAGGATGCCACCAGCTAATCTTTAAGTTTCTCCCCCAAATTCCCCTGCACATACAGAAAAAAAAATAGCAAACATTCACTTAAACCATTCTAATACAGTGTTAACGCCTGGTGCTACAATGACTATCCATCTCCAGTATCTGAATTGTGTATATAAGATACACCACTTCATGATGTCATTATGTCAGTCTTTCTGAATAAAATTAATTCCAATAGCCATAAGGGTCAGATAAGTATGGACATCTTAAAAGAATTGCATGGTAGTGGAGGGAGGGGAAGAAACAGAAAAGAAACCCTCAGACTGATGCACAGACAGTGCAAAGTAAAGGCAAGACTCCTGGCCTCCAGATACAATCCATTGAGAAAGGGAGTTTAGTTATTCCTGTCACCAAGATATCTGACAGCATGTCACCTGCTCTATTTGTAAGTGACTTCTAACTCTAGTTAAAGATCTCCCAGCTTTTTAAAGCAGCTGAAATGACTGTCTACTTGTTTGGTAATGATAAACTATCAATCCCAAATGTGATTTCATTTTTTTTTTTAAATTGCACAGTTCATAATGTTTCAGCATTATGATAAAAATCTAATTGGGAAGGCTTTAACTGTCTACATAAAATGAAAGCTATCCACCAAAATCCAGACATTATTTTCAATGTCACTTTCAGTACATTGAAGATGCTTCACTTCCATGTCTCTAGCAGGATGTTCTTTCCCACATGAACCTTAACAGGTCTCACTATCTTGTCTTTTAGGCAAGCAGAAACTTTCATAATCAAACATTCTTGCCAAACCAGTGAGCATAACTGAAGGACACTGGGCGCGTCTACATGTGCAATTAACGTGCCTGAATTTTCTGCGCAGAAAATTCAGGCACATAAAAGTGCTCCCCGGCACACAGCTACATGCGTGCCCCTGTTGGGAGCAAATTGAGCCCCACAAGAGCAAGATTGGGCTGCTCCTGCCCTGCTCTTTCCTTCTGCAGCTGTCCCAGCTTGGTGAGCAGTTCTGTCCCAGCCAGGGGGAGATCAGGCTGCCCCAAGCTGTGGGGGAAAGGGAGGGAGAACTGTTTTGCCTGTGCAGGCAGCTGCCTCCCAGCCATGTGGAAATTGGGACAGATCCCCATCTCCATGTGGCTGGTAGGTAGTGCCCCATCAAGCCGGGACATGCTTCCTGCCCCTGTGACCCCCTGCTGCCTAGGCTGGACTTGGAGCAGTTTGCTCCTGGTCAGTGTCTACACATGCAGTATGGTGCATTAGTTCATGTGGCATTTTTCTAGTACCTGCATTTATAGGTACTAGCAAATGGCACATTAGACTAATATACTGTGCAGTAATTACTGCATGTATGTAGGCAGTGACATTTAGTCTATGGCACATTAGTTTAATGGTAGTAAAGCACCTCATGTAGATGCACCCACAGATACCAATTTGGTTTACTAGCTACAGCCGCCTTCCTCTTCATTATATACTACTCCAAGTTGACTGGTTCTTTGAAAAACAAAGCAGCAAAAAACCCCAGTAGCGTTAAGAAGCAAAAAGTAAATTCTCCATATGTAAACCAAAACAAACAAACAAAAAAAAAGACAGCTAGATTCCAGTTCAGCTCTAAAGATGTGATTTCTGCCATCCAATTTGTTGAATGATTCAAAAATGAGACTTGAACACAGGGCCTCGTTTTCTCTTTAACTATAAATATTTTCCAAGATACTTCTCTCCCTATTTATCTCAAACATGTTAAGTTCTGACATCTCAGTTGCAGCCTTTTTTTTTTTTTTTTTAAACTTACTCAAAATTGTTCTAGCATGGTGAAGCAATGTTCAACCTCAGTTCAGCCTATGTAATCCACTTCATTTAAATTTGCTATGCTGTTACCTGTTCCACACAATTTGGACAAGATCCACTGCACATTAATCATTCCACAGATGAACAGTTCTATGATTTACACTGCTTCTCTAACTGTAGATTTTCATGTGCCATTGTGTGCCGTGGTGGAGAAAGTTCTTGATACAAGGCCAGACATCAAACCATCTTAAAGAAAAAGTTAAGTTTGAAAAAGCAAGGTTTGTACTTTATAAAACAAAACACTAAGCACTCCAGATAAACCTAAGTACATCTCTTCGAGACCATTTGCTTAATACAAGACACAGCCAAAATGCAGGGCAAGACAGAGTATATAGAATCTTTGCCAGATTGGCTGAAATACTCTTTAAATTGCTACAAAAGCAGTACCCTCGAGTAAAAGAAAAACCTAACTATGGGATGCAAAGAGAGGAGAGAACGAACACTGCTCATTTTTCCACACAGAGCTAAACATTGCCATAGACTATACGCATCAGTTTTGGCTCTGAAGTGACAAGAGACAGCATAAATAGCAAACTAGTGTTTCACAAACTTGGCCAATTTCTCCTTCAATGTTTTTTTGTATGTAGGTTCCAAAATCTCCTGCAGATTACAATAATCCAAGGATCATGCAAAATGTTAGTTTAAATAGTCCTGGATGAGTCACAGAAGTAGAATGCTTTTAGCAACATTCCCAATATTGAAATTTCTTGCCAGAAAATAGAAAAGAAAAAAGAGACTGAAACTAAGCCTGGCTGTGTTTGTATTGAAAATAAAGCCCACATTTTTTCCATACCAAGAGAACATGGGCTTTTTTAGTGGTAAAAATTTTTACTAGCCAAAACCTTAAAAGAAAATGAGCCAACAAATGTTTAGGCAAGTAGGTTAATTACAGTTGAATCCTTAGCCTAATCTTTTATGGACTAAACAAAACTACATATAAGCAGGCACAACTTCCTTTAGCCAAACAAAGCTCTGATCCATCTCTCAAACCAAGGAGATGAAGTTCTCCCTGCAGCCTTTACCACTTACTAAATCTTGCTTTATCATGAAAGTACTTCTCAGATTTTAGTTCCCAAGTAAAACCAACCAGTGCTCCCCAAAAAATGCATGTTTTTTGTTTATTATTTTGCAAAATAAGAATACCAAAGACAACAAAGTACACCTCCAGTAACTAAACTGAGCCTTTGACCTCTGAACAACAATTTCAGGTTTGGCCAGACACCAGCCCCCCGGCTCAAGCAGGCAGTACTCGTTCCATCATCTCTGCTGAGCATTATGAAGTACGGTGCACTGTCACAATCAGCAGGAGAGCTCCACCTCCTCCCGTATTCAGCTTTGTGTCTCAGCCAACGCATCATTCACATGTCACTTGTTCCAGACAGAATCATGTGATTGGGCTGGCTTCCAAGAACACAGCTACTAAATAAAGATGCTGCCAAGGCACGTCTGAGAACAGCTTTTGCCAGAAAATGAAAGGAATTGAAATCTCTCATCCTACCAGTTTTCCTGCCTATGCCTGTAATCTTACCACCTACTGGAGCAGTATAAGACTAAGAATAAAACCAGACACCATACTTTTAATGGAGGACAGTTTTGGTTAGTGCAGGAAAAATTAGTACTCTTACAACTGGACTAGTTCCTGTTTGCTTATTTATTTATTTTAAAATAAGAAAATGCCAACTGGTCTCAGAAACAAAGATCCCCTAGGAAAGTGATTCTCAGTTTTTTTTGTACCAGGATGCATTTGTAAACATCAATGGCCAGTCCGGACCCAGTGCCTCTCACTCCTGATCAACTGCCCCCCTGCCCCCCAGTGTGGGGCAGGGGGTGGGTGTGTATGGGGCAGGGGCATGGGGGGCCCCTAGCAGCCCCTCGCCAGCTAGAACCCTGCCCGCCTGCAAGGGAAAACCCACAGCTTCCTATGTTTTTGTGCTTTAAAAGGAGAATCCATTTTTTAAAAGTTTGTTTGTGACCCTTTCATATTATTCTTATGACCCACTTTTGGGTCGCGACCCACAGGATGAGAAACGCTGCCCTAGGGTCATTTGGCAGGCTAACACATGTCTTTACCATACCCTAAGGCTGGCATCCTGACACACAAACTGGCTTGCCCCTTCCTGCTCTTTCTTCCTCAGAGATATGGCCTATTCTTTAACTCACTTGTAGCCTCGTAGATTTTAAAAAATCCTATACGTAAAATGGCAAATAACACACCCATCAGTCTTTGGTATATGAGATGCAGATCAGTAGATCCATGAAAATAGGGGATTGCTCAGGGTCATAGGTGATGTGTAAGGGGGGGTACGGGGGGGCATGCCCCCCTGAGAGCACTGGTGCCCCCCCGACAGCGAGTACTTTGGTTGGTAGGGGGGCACTGAAATCGGCTCCACTGGCTGCACATTGACTGAGGCAGAAGTGCTGCTGGGCCCCTCAGTTGTGCCCCACTAGTGCCCCCTCAGACTTGGGAGGCACCAGTCGCCCATGCTCAGGGTTCAATAAAAGATTGCTTTGGTCAACACAGAAATGGTTGATTTTTCAAATATATTTTACACACATTTTTATTTGGCTCAAAATGAAGTGCTTTGTTTTGAATTAAGATGTTCACTATTTTCTGAACACAAAGTTTGCAAGCACAGGACTGGATTGACAAGGGAACTTGGGGGGCAAATCACAAATGACAAAGGAGGCATTAATTCCCTC